TTTCATACAGGTCCGTAAAACAAGCATTCATTTTCCAAAGCAAAGAGATGAGTTGAGTAAGAGCAGAAATGGACAGATGGACAGAGGGAGAAATGCTCCTGTCCTGGAGAAAGAAGGAGGTCTTCTATTTATTTGCATACCTAGGCAGTACCTGTGGAGGTGGAAGGGTGACATGTGGCCCAACGGGTAGCCAAAGAGCAACGAACAGGTAGAGATGGGCAAAGTCCGTCCCAGTCACTGGGGTGGGGCCGGCGGCTCCAGGCTAGCTTACCCGGCATCCGGTGAGGGTCAGTGCGGTCACAAGGAGAGCACCAAGGGGAGGGAGCCTGTGCCCACACAAATTTATTTCTTGACACACAATTTCATTCCCCAAAAAACCTAACCTAGCATTAGGCTTCCTCTCCCAGATGCACACTGTACCACACTCCAGTATGGAGCTGGCTCGACACTAGGCCCACAACCTCATGGATTCTTCACCGTCCTCACGGAGAAAGTTGTTACCACATCCACTGTGCATAGCAGAAAACCAACCGATACAAGTTAAGTGATCCCTCAAGGTCACACAGCCAGTGAGCAGGGCCCGTTCTTCCCCCTGAGCCACTCTGCCCATCCCAGCTGGCTCCTGAGATTGCACCCCAGCCTCCACCCTGCACTGCCCGCCTGCTCTCTGCCTATAGCCAGCAACCTTCCCTTTGCAGCCTGCCCTCCCCTCAACCCAGGGCTCCCAGGCAAGGATGGGTGTTGCTCATTTCCACAGCTTATTCCTTTCATTTGCTCCAAGTCTAACCTGAGCGACCCTCTTGAGGACTTCTAGGGGAGAAGCTAACCAAGGAAATAAACTGCTCCTTCTAGTTACAGAAGCAGAAGGGAACTATTAAAGGCAGTGACGGGACTCGGCCACTTGCAGCCATACAACCTACCCTGCCTGCAAATGCACAACTGCACCAGCATGGCACCACTCAACTGCAGAAGTCACTGTGTACCTCATTAATGAAATGCAAGATCACGGCCCTGCAATCCCACACATCAAGGGCTTACCAGCACGTGCCTTACACAGATCCGCAGACTCCCACCACAGGACTTATTTGGGTTTGGACAAGTTATGTAACTGCTCTGTGCTCCAACACCCTGTGGAGGACAGCAGTGCTCTGGGCTGTAGCCCAAATCAATAAGGAGAAGGCAAAGGACTTTAGGGGTTTTGCTCATTTCTTTGTGGTGCTGGGAATGGAACCCAGGGCCTCATGCATGCTAGGCAAGTGCTCTGTCACTGAGCCATACCTCCAGCCCAGACTTTGGCTCTTCAGCTGGTTACGGATAAGGAACACAAGCCTCCTTCTCCAGCCACAGAAGCCAGGGCACCAACATTCAGGGAAGCAGAGTCCTATCTGTGTTCTGGGAAACCAGCCCTAATTTGCCCAGCCAGAGTTGTAGCTGAGAGAAGGTTTTGCAGGGGAAGGATGCGGACTGGTGCACAGCCTGTCCTCTGGATGCTTTGGGACACCACGTCCTCATCCTCCCCTGGCCTGTCTCCTTCTGGGCAGTCCTGCACTCCTGGGAGGAAGGGCGAAGCTTCCTGAGTGCACACTTCTCCAAGGAAAGTCGGTTTCCCTCACTCCCACAGGCCAGGGCATGAGGAGGAATCTCAAGCAGCCGAAGGTCACTGTCAGCCCAGGTCACAGCAAATCCCCACAGACACGATCGCTGCAGATACTCACAATGCTGACCATGTTTGAGTGCCAATGCCAGTAATGCTCTGGGTATTATGGCTGCGAACACCAATAACCACTGCCGAGATGTCTCTACTAATGCAGCACACCCTACAGTGACTGTCCTCAGTAATGCCCACCACCATGACACTGCTAGAGCTGAGGAATGGGCCATGCTGTCCCCAGAGGCAGGAGCTGGAGCAGTTTCCTGGAGGGCAGAGAAGTGCCTTGTTGCCCTCAGGGCAGGACACGGCTATAAAGATGCCAGAGCCTGAGGTGGAAGGAAGGCCAGTCCATGGAGCCCTCAAGGTCCTCCTCAAGGGAGACAGTCTGCCTCTGCTGTCTCTGGGTTCTAGTCCCTGGACATGCATCTCCTGTTCCAGCCCTACACCTGCAGCCCCGGCGTCAGTTTCTCTTTCCCCTGCAGTTCTGGCCCAAGAGCTGAAGGACACACCTGGGTGTCTGTGCAGCCTGTGCCCGAGGCTGCCTCCTGCAACTGGCCTGCCAGCTGCTTTGCTACCTTGGCCTGATCACAGAGTTGGGCTACATCATCTTGACACATAATTATCTCCCTATTCTTAATCATCCGAGCTGCTCCCTAATGCAAACCGGGCCTGGCTGCTTAGAGGCATCCAAGAGGGGGAGGGCGGAGGTGCCGAAGGTCTGCCTGCTCTCCCTCTCTGCTCTGTCCCTTACCACCCGGTCCCTGGATCCAGGATGGGGCAGTGCTCAGAGAGAGCTGGCTCCCTTACGAGCTTGGCCTCCAGGGCAAGGACAGCTCGATCTGGCCTGGGATTGGTCAAGACGCAGGGTGGCCAGGGCAAGAGAAGGCCCACAGACAGCCGGGCCTGTTCCTTCTTACCACCTGGCTGGGCCCAGAGGTGGGAGGAGACTCTGAGGCCTGCATGAGCCCTCCAGACTCAAGGGTCCCTGCATGGTCTCCCTGTGGCCATGCTGTCACACTGCTGGGGGACGCAGTCCGGACCCAACCCTGCGCTTGTCCCTTCCTGTCCTCATCCCTTCAGGGCTCCTCTCGCTTCCAGGGAGAACCAAAACCCAAACCAAAGCAGGGCCGGAGATGCAGCTCTGTGGTGCCGGCACCTGCTGGCAAGCGCAAGGTCCTGAGTTTGCTCCCCAGTACCGAAAAAACAAAACAAACTTCTGCCATCCTTCCCTGGCCCAGCCCTGGCCTGCTCTCCTGCAACTCCGACCCCTCTACTTAGTCTCCCTTCTGCTACTGTCCTGCTGCCCAGACTGCCTGCCAAAGCTACCCTGCCCTGATGGCCACAGGGCCTTCTGGTCACAAGGTCGCTCTGTCAGATAGGGTTTCGGGCCGCCATTGTCTAGGCAATTCTCCTCAGCCACACAAGGCCCCTCCTCGGAGAGGCTGTCCTGTGGTGAACCCCCCAGCTCCCCGCCTAGCACCGGGCCTGTGGCCAGACCTCCGTCAAGAATGGTATCCGATGGGCCTCTCTGCTCTGTGGGCTCGGCACTTCGCATGCCCCGTTGGGCTGTAAGCTCCTTGAGGCCCAGAATCGTGACTTGCCCTGCTTGGGAATCCACTTCACTGAGCCCTGCAGCCACTGCTCAGGAAGGTTCCCTGAGCTGACCGGACTCAGAGCAATGAATGCGAGCAACTACTCTCCGCCGGCCAGGCCCTGCCCTGTGTGACCATGGCCTCAGGCCAGTGCCCCACCACACCCAGCCTCCCTTCACCGTGGACCCATCAGACCTCTGGCAGTGGGAGGCAGGCGTGGCCCCATGTGGGCCACCAGGACAGAGGACAGAGGCTTCTGTGGCCTCCTTGGAGCCCTGGCTCTGTCACACTCTAATCAATGCCCGTGGCTGACGACAAACCTTAGGGTGTGAGGCAGCCTCTGCCAAAGCTCCCAGGGAGCCAGGGAACTTGGCCGAGGCGGAGCACGGGAAGCCCCAGGGAGAGGCTGGACTTCGGGCCTTTTACGAAGGCCCCGCTCATCACGGGCTGCAAAACAGCCCAATGAGATTCAGTGAGTGGCAAAGGCCGTGGCTGCCAAATGAGTTGCGTGTTTTGGGGGAAGGAGAAATAGAGCCAGACAAGCTGTCTCCCTTGAAACGAGGCCATTAGGGCTTCTGGAAGGAGGCCAGCGGCAGGTCACCGCTGTCTCACCGGGCCGAGGCCTCTCCCACACTCTGCCCCTTGCACTGGAGGCGGACGCTGAGCGCTCTGCCCTCTGCCCAGGCCCAGGGAGTCCAGGTGGTGGCCCAGGAACTGTCAGCTCCGTCTCTGTCTCCATCTTTACTGCCTCACAGTCCCCTCCACAGGGCTCATCCACCCTTGGATTCTTGAAAGAAAAAGGAGCTGCTGCCCGGCCAAGATGCAGAGACAGCAGGTGTGGCTGAGACTGTGCTGGGCCAGTGGGATCCAGAGCTGCCCCTTCCCACTCATCCTTAGAGGATTCTGGTTTGGGGGACACCGTTAAAATAACCCTGCATCCCGCTAAGGACAGGAGGCTGCTACTTCCCCGGTGGGGACTGACAGCCTGGGCGGGAAGCGGGTCTCGGATGCTGGTGTCTGTCTGAATCTGCCAGCCCCATGTCCTGGCTTCGTGCACTGGAAGGGAAGCAGTCACCAGGGGACCCTTGATGTCCCAGCACTTGAGAAGCAGCTTGCCCACGCTCGCCTGCCATGCTCCCCTTTCTGTCTTTCCTCCTCCTCCTCCTCCTCCTCCTCCTCCTCGATTCGTGCCTTATTCCCTCAACTCGAAGCTAACAGCCTGGCCACACCTTGAGGCCTCTGGGGAGGAGGAAGCGGGAGTGGTGTCTGCTCTGACACAGCAGCAGCCAAAAGCAGCCCCACGCCCAGCTCCCCGGTCATTTCAGTGGGAGCTGCGTCCGTGTGTTGCAGAGAGAGGACACCGGGTCAGCTGCATGTGACGTCACCCCTTACCTTCGGGTGGTCTGGGGCCAGCAAGGACAGTGGGCTGACCTGTCATCCTTGAGTGACAGACCAGCTGTCCCCCAGCCTCCCAGACCCTCCCAAGGTAAAGGTTCGTGCCTCTTCTGGCATCCTGCAGGGTAGCTGGGTGAGTCCCATTGGAAGGCCAGGCCGTGAAGGCTGAGCAGATGGTGAAGCTGGTATCCTGACCAGCGCCTCCCTCCTCTCTCCAGGAGCCAGCAGGGCAATGGGGGGATCTGGGCTTTGCCGCTAAAACTGATCTCCCAGCAGAGCAGCTGCAAGGCCAGCGGAAACCGGAGCTCTGAGCCCAAGGACAAAGAACGCAAAGGGGAAGCCAAGGCTCTCCTTCCTCCTACCTTCATCACGTTTCCTCTTCTCACCATTGGAGCGAGGGATCCCCAGGATCCCATTGATGGAGTAGGATCCCACTGGGTCATTGGAGGCGCTGGAAACAGGAGGGGAGGCCGTGCTGGGAACTGGATGAGAGGAAGGAGGAGACACCATGAGGACAGTGGTTTGGATCACACGCCAAAGCCCCAAGGCTGGAGCAGAGCCAGGGTGAGAAGCCCACTTCCTCCCGCCTGCCTCTGCGGCCTGAGGGGGCACACACTGCCACACACTGAGGCTCTTTCCACTCTGTCCAGCCGGCAGGAGGTGGGGACCTGTTAGCCCAGGCCTCCTCTGCACCAACGCTGACTCCATCCAACCCTGCCCGGGAGCCATCTGGAGGGCACGGCTCTTGGGGGTCTCCTGGAGAGGGCCCTCCAGCCCTGGGGCTGGCAAAGCAGCTCCACTTTCCTGTCTCCAAGGCAGAGTCTTTAACAATTGTGATTTAGACTCTGGCCCTTTTAAGATCTCTCTCTCTCTCTCTCTCTCTCTCTGATTCTCTGGGAGATGAAGGCTGGTCCTGAAGGTCCTAAGTTGCCCCTCAAGACATGGACTACTGAGCCCATTAACTGTGCAGTGACCAGCTCAAGCACAGCCTGGCCCAACCCTCTGTCCCAGGACACACTGTAACCCGGGCCTGGTACACAAGGCTTCCTGCCAACCCCAGGAGGGCTGGGACTGGCCATTTCTACTTCCTGCTGGCCAAGAGAGAAGGGGCCAGTTGCTAAGAGGTCCTAGTCCCTCAACCCCCCCACGGCAGCCCCGAGTACCCCAAAGAGAAGTTAGTCGGTGTGAGCCTGGGGCTCACAGGGGTTGGCAGGTTTCTTCCAGACCTGGGCATGTCTAGGAGAGACCTGAGCACAGCTGGAGGAGGCAGAGAGCTACAGAGCACATGAGGTAGTTAAAGAGATCACGACACACCAAGAGAAGAAAGGCCGTACAGGAGGGACTCGAGAGGAGAGGAACAGATGCAGAGCCACATATAGGAGAGGAGAGAGGAGAGGGAGGAGAGAGAGGAGAGGCAGAGAGAAGAAAGAAGAGAGAGGAGGGAGTGAGAATAGATATCAAAGAACGAGGGACAGGTAGGGAGACAGAATCAGATAAAATGCAGACGATAGGGAAGGAGAAGAAGCGCTACAAGCGCAATGTGGAGAAAGAAAGGGAGGACATTAAGGCAGGGCAGAGGCCAAGGGAGCGGCAGAGACGGGGCCCGAGCTGATCTCGCTCAGGAAGACACATGCCTCTAGGAGCTCGGGGAACATGGGGCCTGGACCTCGCTGGAGTGGCCGTGCCCAGGGCTGGTCTGCACTCCCTGCTTCCCGGACAGGGCCAGCCTCCCGACGGCCCGAGCCCTCTTACCGATGGTGTGGCCGGGGGCGCTCACTCCCGTCCCCGCCCCATCCGGCGTTGGGTGGAAAGGCTGCTGAACTTTGGTCCGGATGATCCTGCAATGGCACCACACAGCGTCACACATCACACGCACACCCTGCAGAGCCTCGGCTCTGTCCTCACCCGTCTGTCCCCTGTGCCTGTGTTCACTGCTGCCAGCTATGAGCTTTCCCTGTGAGCTCTGGGCAGAGCTGACTCCTGCCCTGTGCGCTGATTGAATTGTAGCTAGGGTTTTGGTAGCAAGCACTGGGGCAGCGGGCCTAGCGGGGCACAGCGTCTTCTCCCTGCCTGGGATGTGGAGCCCGGTTCTCCATTTTTCCCTCCTCAGCTGCATACATGCAGCCCTGGGTGCCAGGACTTCTTGGGTCTGGAGATGATTTTGGAGCTGGCTCCTCCAGAGCTGGGGAGAGGTGTGCTTTCCCCATTCCTGAGCCAGGGAGTGTGGGGAAGGCTGGGCCCAGGGGACACTGGTCGGGGTCCCTTTGCCATGGCCACGCCTTACACAGCCTCCTCCTGAGCCCAGGACTGCCCTGAAGTCAGAGCCCCGCGCGTGCATCTGCCGCCTCCTTCTCAGGAGCCCTTCTCGGTCCCAACCTCTTTACCTGCCTGGCAGAAGGGCTCGGTGCCTGAGGGGCAGGGAGTCAAGTCACACGCGGCCCCACTGGGATGAGCCTGCCTTCCAGTGACGCTGAAGACCCAGGGCTCAGGGGCCCTCGAGGTCTGCGCCGGGGCCCGGCTGAGGGAGCACCCTCTGTGCTTGGCCCACGGCCTCTCCGACAGCACCGCTCCTCCCACAGAGAGGCTCAAGCCAGGCTCACCCCTGCTGGGCAGGTGAGCAGCACACTGTGGCCCCTGGAGCTTCAACCAGCGCTGCCTGAGAGCCTGCTGGCCACAGGGGTGAGGAACAGCTCTCCCTGGGAAATGGAAGGGCGGGGCGGGTCACCAGGGAGGGCGTTGACAGAGCGCCAGAGCACCCAGAGGCGCCGTGGGGAGGGAGGGCGCCCCGTTCTGCCTCTGCCACTGGGAGGCCACATCGCCTTAGGCTCATCACTCAGCCTCTCTGTGCCTCAGTCTCTTCACGTGTGAAGCCAAGGGCTGGAATACAGGGTCTCTGAGGCCTCTCTCTCCAGCAGGAGCAACACGGCTCCGGCTCTGAGGGGAGCAGACCAGGGAGAGGAGGGCTGTGTCGAAGGTGCTGGGGAGGTGGAGGGCAGTCTGGGGCCAAGCGAGAGGAGGGCTGCAGGGCTCCGGCCTTGGCAGCGGGGGCCCGGTGTGGGGGGAGGGGCGGCAAGGCTGAAAGTGAAGGCAGCCGCTTCCCGTGTGTCAGTCAGCGACCTGGCCCAGTGCTGTGTGTGTTTCCTCATTGACCCGCACCTTCCTTAGCCCTCATGGTAACCTGCACAGCAGGGTGCTCATCCTCATTCCGCAGGTGGCAAAGCAAAGCCGGTGAGGCCACAGTTGTCTTAGGCTCGCACTGCCGCTAGTGGCAGAATCTGGATTCAGACTCCTTCCAAAACATAAGAGCCGGGTGTAGGGCGTCTTAAACCACGAGCACTTTCTCAAACCAGAGGACAGCTGAGCACACGGATCCCAGGAAACTGTGTCTGGGCAGTGTGGAATAAGGAGCTGCATGCAGGGAAGGAAAGGAAGAATTTGCAAGATACCACGGAGGCAGAAGGGTCAGGACTTGACAACTAACAGGAGCTAAACCAGGCTGTACAACCTCAGCTGCATGTCACTGGAAAAGGCTCTGGAGCGGTGACTGGGTTTGTAGGAAGTGGTGGTGTGGGTCTTAGACATGCGCATGTGAGGCGCACACAGCCAGCATGACACACAGCAGAGAGGGGCCTTGGAGGAGTCTCCCACAGGTGTGTCGAGAGGGCTGACAGGCCACAGGGCGGACGCAGCAGAGCCTGTATGGTACAAAGTGCTCTCACCTAAGTCACAAAGAACATGTTAAGAAGAACGCGAGAGATGAATAGAAAAAGAGAGCGCGGTATTTACACACAACGGAGTACTACTCAGCCATAAAGAAAGACGAATGAGTCATTTGTAGGAAAATGGATGCATCTTGAGACCATAATGTGAAATAAATCAGACACACAGGCTTTAAAATCACATGCTTTCTCTCATATGAGAAACCCAAAATATAAGTAAAGAGCAGAATAGGAAGTAGAGAGATTCAGTAAATCTTTCTCAAATGGGAAGAGACCAACAGAGGGAAAAGGGGGGAGGGGAAGGGGATGAAGGAGGGATGAAGAAGCCGGGCGTGGTTGCGCACACCTGGAATCCCAGCACTGGGGAGGCAGAGGCAGGAGGATGGCTGTGAGTTCGAGGCCAGCCTGCTCTGCAAAGGGAGACCCCCGTCTCAAAAGCCCCCAAAAAGAAAAAAGGAATTAACATGTGTTATGTACATACAGCGACTCCACACAAGGAGCGTGATGCTGTGTAGTACAGACACGTGCTGACCAAGAGAGGAGCACAGGGTCCAGGCAGGACGAGTCAGCGAGCAGGAGCGGTCAGCATGTCAGTCAGAGGACAGTCCTGGCTGAGGACTGGAGGGAGGGTGTTCCAGGGCAGCAAGGACCCGGGAGAGTTTGGCGGCTGAGGAGGAAAAACCAGTGCAAAGCAGAACGAGTGGGGGACAGAAGGTCTGCAAAGGAGGGGTGTGGTGGGCACGCTTGCAAGGCCGGCATTCTGTGAGGCCGAGGCGGGAGGACCAGAAGCTTGAGCCCAGCCTTGACAACGTAGGCACGTACCGAGATTTAGGGAAGATCCCGGGGTTCAACCCCCAGCACTCCTCATTCCAACCACACACACACGCAAACAGCTTCCGAGCTTGTAGCTCTCAGCCAGCGGAAGGTGAGGTCACCTCAGAAGAGGGGGGGAGAAGGTTCGGAGCCTGATCAGCCCAGGAAATATCGAACAGTAGCTGAGGGCAGCAGAGACACATCTACAGAAATCTAGAGGCACTGAGGCCCCAGAGCAGCTGTTCTGACTGGTGGCAGCACAAGCTTCTAGGGCCTCAGGGCCTGCGGCAGCTCTGCTTGAGGGCATGGGCTCTGGATTAGGAGAGCCCTGGCTGGGGCAGGCTGGGGCAGATAACTGGGCGGGCTGCTGGGGTTTCTGTCTTCGTTACCCAGAGCCTCTGACCCCTGGAGCACTGCTGTAGATTTAGCTGAGGCAGCAAGTGATGGAAAATCACTACTCCCTGACAGCGGCGTGGTGGTGCACGGGAGCAGGGCTGGGCGAAGCGCCTGCTGCAAGTTACTAATGCACTTGTGTTCATCCAGGATCCCAGCGGCAGGCACTTGCCACGTCCCGCAGGGGCCACAGGGAATTTAAGAGCTGAGGTCTTGGAAGCCCGATGGTCACCCCTGCACTCCTGCATCCCGCATACAACTATTCGGCCCATGGGGATTTGGGAATTCCCTCTCGGGGCTGAAGGAGGAAGTGAAACAGATGCAGAAGATGATGCTACTGCCTGACAAGATGACACTACTGCCCACGTCCCTCCCCTCCCAGCCCTCCTCGTCCTCTTCCTTCTCCTCCTGCTTCTCCAGCTCTTTGCTGTGCGTGGCTCCACAAGTCGGCCGAACACATTTCGGTCCTCCATGGCCCCAGCTGGAGGTCCAGTCCCCACACAGGGGCCCTGGCGGCCACCTCTGCACCTGGGTGCTGGCTGTCATTCCCCATTCTCACGGAAGGACTGGGTACTGCTCCCCACCCCCTCCCCAGGAAGCTTTCCTCCACAGGGTGCTCTTTTCTTCCCCATTTCAGATGGGAGCGTGCCTTCCCAGCGGACGGCCTGTGCCCACCATGGGGACTCCCGGGCTCTTAAAGACCGCCCCATCCACAAGGGTGTGAGAATGGCAGAGGGAATTGGCTCCGGGCTCAGTCTTCCTAAGTTGCAACCCCAGCTCTCTTACTTACTGCCCAGGAAACCCTTGGTGATTTCTTATTCCCTCACCTATAAAACATGATAATACTGTTCTGCACTCCCTAGGACTACAGTGAGGATTCAGTAGGATAACACATGTAAACGATTAGTATGATAGTTGGCTCACTAATGCCCACTAGCATTATTATTCCTATGAGTGACCCCTAGGCCGGGCTGCTTTCAGCTTAGGGGCTGAGCCTGGTAGGCAGGATGGCTCCCTCCCAATATGCCCTGGCTTGGCATTGCAGGGGCTACCGAGACGCTGGAAAGAGCACTGGATATACAGGAAGCAGCAAGAGCCACCCTAAAGAGAAGTTATCTCAGAAAGACTTGACAAGACAGACTGGGGACTGGATCAAACCCCACCTGAGCTCTGCAAGAAGGACCCACAGAGCACACAGCAATGGCAGGGTGGAGGCAGGCTCTAGAGCAAAGGATGTTGAAGCAGAGGTGGACAGACAGGTCACAGGCTCTTTGGTTAAATTCCCAGGAAGCCCCCTCTCACTAGCTTGGGACTGCAACAGTCTCAAGGCTCTGTGGGTTGGAAGGCTTCTGTGAGGGAGTCTCCCAGCAAGCTGTTCGCTCATGAAGACAGAGGAGCGCTCCACCTCCCAAGAAGGCACTAGAGACCCCAACACCTCTTCTGCTTCCACCTCCTCCTGCTCCTCCTCCTTCCCTGGCATTGCTTCCTCTGTGCTTCCTTCTCTGTCTCTCTCCCTCTTTCTCTGTCCCCTTTGTCTGTCTGTCCATCTCCCTGCACCCTGAAGTCCCACTGTGGCTGTGTGAGTTTATTGATTCCTGGGAGCTGGGGGAAGCAGGAGGCAGGGCTGGGGTGCAGGCTCAGGGATGGAAATAGAAGGCTATAAATTATTTGTGACAGGAAAGCAATAGTGGCAGAGTGCTGAGCACAAGTCCTGTGTCACTATTAGATTCCTTTTAGCCTGATGACACTGTAAAAAAGGTTAAGTGTCTGCTGGAATCGTACACCTGGGGGCCGGGGCAGCCTGGGAGCAGAACAAGGCACTGAGAGCAGGTATATCAATTCTCCAGGCCAATAATATTCCTCTCATTGATCGCCACGCAAAGTTCAAAAATCTCATTACAGCCAGGCAGACC